ACTCATTTCTTAAGGAAAAAAACCATTTGGCTAGATTAAAAAAAAAACAGTTGGCTACAGTATGTACTCTTGTGCTTAGAAAAAAGTTCATCGAAGTTGAAAAAAAACATTGACTCAGAAAAATAGTTCATCAAATTTCAAAAAAGTTCATCAAAATTGAAAAAAAGTTCATCGAATTTGAAAAAAAAGTTCGTCAAATTTTAAAAAGTTCATCGAATTTCAAAATAGTTCAGCGGATTTGGTAAAATTTCATCGATTTTGAAGAAAAAAGTTCACAAATTTAAGAAAAATGTTTATCAAATTTGAGAAAAGTTTATTAAATTTGGAAAAATTTCATTGAATTTGAAAAAAAGTTCATTCGATTTTGAAAAAGTTCGTTCAATTTGATAAAAGTTCATCAATTTCGAAAAAAGTTTAATGTTTTAAAAAGTTTCTTTCAATTAGCATTAAGAAAAAGAAGAATAAAAAACCGAACAAAACCATTCCCAATAAAAAAGAACAATGATAAAAGAACAAGGAAAAAAATAGAAAAAAGAAAAAGAAGTAAGATGAAAAGAAGGAAGAAGTTTCTATTGAGCATGTAAGGTGGACGTAGCAGGGTGGTTTGCGTAGCGTATATTGCAGTTCGAGACCTGACACGCGCTAGTTTTTGTTTTTACAAACAGAAATCAGTAAAACGGGCCGGCCCCGCTACAAAAACAAGTGTACAGAGGGGGTCTGCATTTACAAACAGAAATCAGTAGAACGGGCCGGCCCAGCTAAAAAAACAAGTGTACAGAGGAGGTGTGCGCTCTGTACGAAATGCACTGTATTCGGCGCTTAAGGCGCCGAATAGGATTCAGCCGCTTAGAGCGCGACTATATTATGTCTCTCCTGAAACTTCCCTGCAGCGTGCAAGCGTAGGGGGCGGTCCAATAGCGTGTTACCCGTTTGCTCAGTCGTCAATCTATTGGCGGATGTGTTTTTTGGGTGTTTTCTTCTTACATGTTCTTTTGTTTTTTGTTTGGTTTTCTTATTTCTTATTCGGTCTTCTTTTGGTTTCGTTATTTCGTCATTATACATCGGGTTTTTCTATTTTTTCTTTTGTTCTTTTGATTTCTCTTTGCTTCTTTCATGGGTTTCTATGGGTTTTTTCTTTCCCATTTTACTTCTCTTTTTTTTCTTTTTCTTTTTTGGTTTTCAATGGTTTTCTGTTGTTATCTTTGTTTCTAATCGGTTTTCACTTGTTTATTTTTTGTTTTTTCTTTGGTTTCCTTTGTCTTTTTCTTTTTTCATTGGTTTTTTGTTTTCTCTGTTTTATTTCGTTTTCATGATGTATTTTTTGTATACATTTTTTTTCAAAAACATGTTTAACATACATGTTTCACATTTTCTTGAATACAAGGTCAAGATTTTCAAATACGCATTTTTAACATTTCAAATGATTCACTAACATTTTTCAAATACAATATTAAAAAAATACATGGTCAACATGTTTTCAATACGCGGATCAACTTGTCGTTGGGATGGTTAGGTGGACGGTTGGGATGGTTAGTTGGACAGTGGTATCCCCAGCCCATCAGAGTTCAAGTCCTGGTGCTTCCATTTTATCCTGGATTTATTTCAAGAATTCCGGCGATACGCTTTCAGTGTGAGAAGACATTCCCGTCAACTACAAGGCGCCTACGGTGACTTCGTAAAATCTAAAGATGATATGCTGGCCTAGTCTCTCGGAGGTGCTTATGGGGTAGGGTGTGCGTGTGTGCTTTCATTACGATGAGTGTATGCGCGTTTATATGAGCGCTTGCGTTTATACTATGTTAAAAAAATATGTTTTCTATACACATTTTAACATTTTAAAATTTTGTGTTCTTAACATTTTTCAAATACAAAATTAATATTTATTTAATACATGGTCAATATTTTTATACACATTTATTTTTTAGATGCTTGATTAATATTTTTCAAGTGCAAGATTAACATTTTTATAATACACGCTCAACATTTTCTGTGTACACGTTTAACATTTTTCAAATACTTGATTAATATTTTTAAATATTTTTTTAACATTTTTCCAGTGCTTGATTAATATTTTTTAAATACATAATCATTTTTTTCGTACACATTGTAATTTTTTGTATACATGAGAAATATTTTCTCTATAAGAATTTAATATTTTTCATACAAGATTAACCATTTTTATAAAAAAATGTAAAGTGTTTTCATATAGAATATTCTGAAGTAAAAATACAAAAAATAGGAAACAAATGAGGATGTGGCCTCCCGCAAGCTAGGCCGGCCCATCTGGCGCTCGCCTTGACATGAGGGCACTCGCGAATCGGACCTCCCCCTCAGGTTCTTCCCGAATCATGAATCCATGTTTTTTTTTTGATTTGACAATCCAGGGAGAATCTAGGAGGAGGTCCAATTGTCAAACTTCTGGGAGACAATCAAAAGAACTGGGTCACATGCTTTCCTCTCATGAAGATTTTCCATGCGCTCAACAGTATTGTGTCGCTCCATTTTTGTTCGTTCCTTCACTATCGGCGCACTTTGCTCTCGTTTCTTTTTTCCCTTTTCCTTTTTCCTCTTCTTTATTTTTGGTTTTCTTTGTTTATTATGGTTTTCATTGATTTTTCTGTTTCCCTTGGTTTTTTTGATTCCTTCACAATTTATATTCGGATTTTTGTTTGGTTTTCTTTGTTTCTTTATCATTTTTTTATTTTTTCCCTTTCTTCATTTTTCTTTGTTTCTTTGTTTTAGTTTTTCAATTTTTATTGGTTTTTTAAGTTTTCCTTTTTTTCTTGTGCATGAGGAAATTTTTTGTTACGTTTAATATTTTCAAATACATGATTAATATTTTCTAAAAAACATATATTGTTTTGATGTCTAATTTTTTTCATACACATTGTACAATCTTTTATATTCATCAGGAACAATTATTATATACATGTTTAACATTTTGTAAATACATGGTTAACAATTATTAAAACCTACATTTCTATGTCCACTTTTTTCATAGACATTGCACATTTTTTATATACATTAGGAACATTTTATGTATACACATTTAACATTTTCTAAATAAATGATTAACATTTTCTTAATACATGATTAACACGTTTAACATTTTTTGTAGACATTAGTACATCATATACATCTCCGACGAGGAGTAGTTTAAGCATGTTTCAAGTTTTTTTTGGAAAAATGAGGATTACCTCGGCCTCTGCATCAATCGATGCATGCAACCATATTATTAAATAAAAACATTAAGCAGGTTTTGATAGTACGTAATTACATGGCGTAGTATGGATTTGAGGTATCAAATTCTGGTATACGATTGCAACAAATGCAAAATAAAGGATGACCAGGCCCTTTTCTTTGAGGGGTCATATTTATCGTATGCGGCTGTAGATGCGCTAACTAAATGGAAAGCCAATGTAAGTCGAATCACTGGAATTATAAAGTTATTGCCATCGCACAATCAGCTTTTGTCCTAGAGATTAACTTGATCCTTCTGAAACTACCCAAAACTAACAGCAAGTCAGGACAAGTTAGCTTTAGTTATCCTGACTTGCCATTACCAGCTTCCAGAAGGCATGCATGCACAGCACCTTTACGTGTGTCATCCACCCGGCCAAGAAGAGCTAGCCGGAACCCTGAGCTGAAACGCAACAACGAGCAATACCCTGACCTAACTTTTCGACTGTCTTGCTAGCTAATGAAT